GATTCTTCAGAAAAATTCAAATTTTATATCTTTGAGGACTGAAATGTGGCAAAAGGTCAAACATTTCAAGGGGGCTGAATACTTTGGGAAGCCAAACCAAGTGCAGTGTTTAAACACCTTTTCTGATTTTACGGGTCAGTAGTAGAATAAAAACACTCCACGAACCTGGTATGACCATAGATGCTTCAGCTTCAACGTTCTCCTGTTTCCAGGGGCCCGTATTGAACTCCTTTTCCCTCAAAGAGACCTCGTAGGTCTTGACATGGCGCCCCTGGGGGTCCTGCATTATATCACAGGCCAACAGAAGACAGAGGTTAAGACATCTTCAGGCAAGATTACCGTCCACCAAATTTTACGCTTCAACTTAGATTTAGACCTCGGCAACTGCAACTGCAAAAGCATCATTTGGTCGACAACCACAGTCATTTGATTAGTTCCCTAATTGATCCACAATCCGCAATCTTTTAGCCGTTGTAGTAAAGTGAAAATTATTGTAAAATACGCAAAAATTAGAGACTGCAAAACAAAAATAGTTGTTATTTTATTTTAGATATTTTAAATCAATATGGCATTTACTGCACTGTATATGCCAACAGCACTTTGCAAAACATACCTGATAGATGAGGCACACAGTTGGGGCCTGGCAGCCATAGAGGAAGTGAACATCAATCACTTGCAGCTCCTCCAGTCGAATGTTAAAGGCCTTAAGCTCACGATTGTCTCGATCCAAAGGGATCACCTTGAACAACCCATCATACAACCGCAGGCCAATCATACGGCATTCTGGGTCAACAATTCCAATAATACCGGTCTCTGAGGGCCGCCCAATGCGATCCTGTAATAAAAAAAGTCAATTTGTAGGGGTTTATGTAAGTAGTATAAAAAAAAAAATCATTTGAAGAATTGCAAGTATATTACAAGACGACACTTTTAGTACGTTTATGCAGCTGAATGTCTCTAAAACCCTACAGTCTACAAGCCTTGGGATGTACTGGGCTAACATAGGACCTCTGGGATTTAATTTCATGCCATGTCATGTGTGTTGGTATGACAAAAAAAAGTCCTTGGATTTTTTTTTTTTTTTTATCCTTGAATTTTGTGGAAAGGAAAAATTCCTTAAGGGGCGGCACGTTGGTAGACTGGTTAGCATGTCCGCCTCATAGTGCAGAGGTCATGAGTTTGAATCTCGCCCCGGGCTTCCTGTGTGGAGTTTGTATGTTCTCCCCTTATCTGCATGTTTTCTCCAGGTACTCTGGTTTCCTCCCACATTCCAAAAACATGCACGATAGGTTGATTGAACACTTTAAATTGTCCCTACGTGTGACCGCAAGAGGTTGCTTGTTTATATGTGCAGTGCAATTGGTTGTTTTCGGTATACAACAAAAATAAAGGAATTGACTTTGCCGTTTAAATACTTTTCAAGGGCACTCTAAGTCAAGTTTGACTTTATAGGGACTGGTGCTTTCACAATTCTGTCAGAGTACACGTTATCCATGTGACTGAATCAAGACGAACTTTTTTTGTTTCAATGATCACCCACCTGGACATTCCCATGGGCACGAGTGATGATGTCAATGCTTTCGCCATTCTGTTTGTATTCAAGGATGCAGGCGTTGTACTTCGATGTGAGAATAAATAGCAGATCCTTGTTTTCACCCTACAGAGCATAAAAAGGTGATGAACCATAAACTACTCTGGGACTTTGTAATTCAAGTTTAATTACCGATAACTGATCCAACATTGAAAAACATGTTTCGTCTTGGCCGTTTGATTTCCTCCAATGCTTTGCTTGTGAAACATTTTCACAAAATGAAAATACATCCATCTGATATCTAAATATTACACATGGCATCTTAACATAACAGAAGTGCATATGAATGAAGACTTGATTGCCAGGTAACGTGCATTTTGACATTGACACAACTTACCGGGGTGTACAGTAAAAAAGAGGTGAAACAAATCTGTACCTTTGGCCTAAACAGCTCCATGACAGCAATCTTGCCATACATCCCCACTTCCTTAACGGGTCTGAGTCCTTCAGCTGTGACAACATAGATCTCCAATCTTGTGTTTTTTGCTATTAGCAAATTGAGGTCCTCTGCAGAGGTGAAGTGGCCTGCAAAATCATCAAGACATAACATGCTGTTTACGCTCTCATTTATGTATATGAGCAGACAAAAGGAAGACTGAAAAGTTTTATTTTGACAATGCATCATTTCTGGATAAATATCCGCCATTATTATTTTGTTACTCGTTGTCAAATGAAATTGTAAGAGGAATATTTAATAAATTGATACTGCCACCAACACCAGTTTACACAAAACAAAATATGAAACAACGGATTGGTAAACGTGTGAGAAATGTGATGCTTTTCCTTTTGGGGCAGCTATTAGATGTAGGAACATGAATAAAAATTATTCAAATGTTTGACTGCTATTGTTATTTGCAGACCATACAATTAAATGAGACAACAAATTCTAGATTAATACAAAATCTACTTGCAGACGCAAACCTTAAGGCATTATTGTAACATTCCTTAAACGTCACGATAAAGCTGCATATTTCATATTCATTCATAGCTCAGATTCTGGTTACCTTCTGTTTAGAGGGTGACACTAAAGCCAAAACAGACAAGGGTCGAATTCTTTAAAATAGCAGACTGTTTTAATAGTCAGTTGGTACTCGTGAAAGGCTGTCAATCAAACGGTCATTCCATGCGACGATAATAGGGCCCTACCTTTAAATTATTACTTGGCTATAAACAGCATGTTTTCAAAGAAGGTGAAAAGTGCCTGTGAAGCGATATAGTAATGGCGAGGTTTGTTTATTTACTTGGAAGTAGGTTACGTTCAACAACAAGTGCTCCGATCATCAGTTTCCCCGGTTCCCATGTAAGCTACCAAACAATGCAAATACATTGCACGATGAGTATGAAACGTGTAGCCAAGACAGAGTTGTCAGGTAAAAAGATCTTAGCCCAACCTGAGCTATCAGCTACCACAGGCCCGTGTGGAGCTTTTTGGGCGTGCAGCGCGGGAGTTCAGCGAACATGCAAGCTTATTGCTGCGATAAACAGCAAAACGGGACATTTACCTGTAATGCAAGCATTGACCGCCGTGGGTTTTTGAGCTGTAACCACGTAGTTGTATGACATCTTGACAACAGTGGCAGATAAACACCAAAGTAGTGTTGTATCGCTCACGCGAGTGACAAAAATCTTTGAACTACAACTCCCGGAAGTACTTTGTTACCAGAGCCGTGCGTCCATCTAGCATTGCGAGCTAAGAGCAACTACAGCCTACAGCGCCCTCTTTCTTACGGAGGCTGCATGGAGAAAATTAAGTATGCCTGCAATATACGGTACACTTCCCCACAAAACTAGTGGAATGGCAAGGTCAATTTCTTTGTTTCTGTTGTGTACTGAAAATTGGGTTTCGGATCAAAAGAGGAATATCAGACGCAAGTTCGGAATTCCAGATTTTATTTCATGGTGTTTACATCAGGATAGAGCACATTTTGTTTGAAGCTATGCACTTTTCAAGTGAGCAAAAATATTGCAATTTACATTATTAAGGTGAATTCTTCTTCTTCTTCTTCTCCTTTCGGCACATCCCTATTCAGGGGTCGCCACAGCGAGTCAGCAATATCCATCCGCCCCTGTAAACCGTCCTACCAACTCGCATGGTCGTCTTGGCAAAAGTTTTACGCCGGATGCCATTCCTGACGCAACCCTCCCCATTTCTCCGGGCTTGGGACCGGCACTGGGGAACAGTGCACCCCCAGGGGAGGGCACTGCCCCCCAGCGGCTGGGTTACAATATTAAGGTGAATAACATTATAATATTCAGAGGTGGGTATCAACAGTACGGTGAGTCCGTCAGTGAGCCGTGTCATTGCCGACAGCCAAACGGTGTCGATAACGGATTTGCGTGTTGTATGATAAAAGCTTCTCCTGATTAGTTGTCATGCATTTTTTTTCTGTAAATTGATAGACATAATGTTTTTGTTGACTTCAGAATTCATTCTGCTCTGACCATCAAAAAACTTTAGGGTGATTTTTTTTCAACCAAAATAATTATTTTAAAAACCTGATAAACATTCAAAATATGTTGTCCACGAAAGATGGGGGTAGTAAGGGGGTGACACTGAGGTTTATAATGCCATATACTAATATTTTTGCGGACTTGGAATGATATGCATGACAAATATAGAACATCAAGAATAATTTTTGAGTTAGTTGATTTTTGTGAAAAAAAAATACAAAATTAGTTTTGGCACTTAATGTTGGTTTCTTGCTCACGGGTTTTGTGCCACCCTTTTAATGCAAGAGTGCCTTTTGCACGAGAAGAAAAATACAGCATGTTGTTATTTTGTCTTTTGCTTCAAAACCTTTGTCGTTGGGGTTGGGGGAGGATAGTGAATCTTTTATAGATGCAATGTATTACCAAAATCAGCACGTATTTCAAACGTATGAACAAATTTTGAAACAGCATTTTTGTCATACATCTGGTTGTCCATCACAAATCAATGAGAGAAATTGCAGATAATTTTTTTTCCATTATGCAATGGGTAGTGGATATACTTGACGGCTCATTTTTAGTTTTCCTTGTGTCCATTTTTTAATATGTACTTTTTACCTCTACTAAAGGTATTGAATCAATATTTTTACCGTTTTGTTGTGTTTCACAAGTCAGCGTACTTGTGAGTACCTTTATACCGCCTCTGCCATTATACCACACGTGGATTTGTTAGTTGAAGTGTTTGCCTTTTGTGGGGGAAATGACATATAACCTCTCTCTCCTGTGGTTGAGAGGAAAGAAATTTCATCTGTGCTGTATGTTGCACATAGAGCACATTTGACAATAAAGTTGACTTGAACTTGAACTGATATAGAAGGAAAAAGAAAAGTTCAGCTCCACAGCGGAAGCTGTCACCATAGTGACCACTTTGCGGAATGTATCTTTGTGACGTCAGAGTACATTTTGGGAGTGGCGTCACGAGAAGATTAGTGTGCAAGATTGTGGAGAGGAAACAAAGTGCGAGAGAGGTGTCTTTTAAGGTCCACCAGGCACCCCATGGAGCGAGGCTTTCTTTTTTTGTTTGTTGGGTGCGTTTTTTCTCTTCTTTGCGTGGCATTCACAAAAAGTTACGTTTGACGGCATGAAATGTGTTTGGTGAGTTATGATCTTCGTGAATGTTGTTTAACGCCAAGCGCGAGACACTGTAGAAAACATATAAGTGAGTTTTTATGATAACTCGTGGAAAATACATCCTTCATCTCAACAAAAGCAAGCTGCAACTTTGCCTTGTACGTGAAGCGATGCGGCAATTGCAATGGACTGAAAACATTGGTTGCTATAGGCAACGGTTTCAGGAACGTAAATAAAACGCAGAAGCGAAAATGCTGTCCCTTCGTGGTTCGTGGCAAAGAACGAAATAGGACCCTGTAGATGAGGCAGTACACTTTTAGTAAAATTTCGAGAAACTATCCTCATAGCTTTGCTATGTTGCAGTTATGCATCTGACGTTCTCAAAAACTTAGTTTGCGTATTTATGTGTTTCAATTCTTCTTCTTCTTCATCTTCTTCTTCTTCTTCTTCTTATTATGCCGATTGACTAAAACGTGCAATAGTTTCTCTTTGGCGCAGGTTAAATAAAAAAAAAAAACACCTATTTCTTTTGAAAAATGCTCTAAATATTAAATATCGAATGGTATTATGTTAACAACTATATAGTATAGCTTCACATATTAAAATCAGGACATCATGAAATACAAAATAATTAAATGAACACTGGGCAGCACGGTGGGTGGTCAACTGTTTAGCACATGTGCCTCACAGTCAAGCGGTCCAGGGTTAAAATCTGGGCTCCGGCCTCTCAGTGTAAAGTTTGCATGTTCTCCCTATTCCTGCCTGGGTTTTCTCCCACATTCCAAAAACACGTAGTGCAGGTTAATTGAACCCTCTAAATTGTCCCTAAGTGTAATTGTGAGCGTGAATGATTGGTTGGCTGGCAACCAGTTTCGGGTTGTCCCCTGCCTGCTGCCCAAAGACAGCTGGGATAGGCTCCTGTACATGAGGATAAGTGGAGCAAATAATGAATGGATGGATCAATGAACACTAACAGTCACAGTCGACACTAATTTCTATAACTGTCATTCTCAGTTCGTTTCACAGTTTGCCTTGAATGATGGAGTCTGGTATGGAGTCAGAAAACGTATTTGACATCAAAATAACTATCACTCGTGCAACTAACATGGTGAGTAAAGACAGCTTCACATTGTCTTCAGATCCTGCTTTCTTTAAACAATTAGCAGAGAGGCCATTATTCATGCAATTTTCCATTGATTTGTATCATTTTGAGATTTGTTTGATCACTGTTTTACTAACACTCTACTGACTATCATGTTATGCTTCGTGTCAGCACCCTTGATTTCAGGACAACAGTATTACTTTTTTTTTGACAATAACGTTAATTATGTCTTATTGAATGGGCACTTCCACTCCTAATTCAAAATTACTTCTTTTTGTAAGCATGGAAAAAAGGTTGGAAATATCCAAAGTTTTCTTCGGATGGAGATCAATGGTACGATGTTGGCAGAGTCTGAAAAGCGTACAGTTGATCCTGCAGCCCAATACATTGAGTATGACTTCACCCACAGTTTTCCCTGTTGCAATGCAGTTCTGGCTCTCAGTGACATACCTCATAAACCAGTCATAGGTAATGTAAATTGCTTCGTTCCGTTTGTTTTTTTTTTTTTTTTTTTACTGAACCAGTGCATGAGACACTTAATTAGCTCAAATATTTCTGTTCTGTTCAACTATTGCTGTACTTCCCTTCGAGAGTATTGGAGCCAAGTCATTTATTTTTGCTGTGGACTGAAAAGATTTGGATTTAACATACAAAGATGATGACATAAGAGATCAACATTTTCACTTTTATTTCCAGGTACCTGAATTGACATTTTGATCTGGACACACAATGTAGACAGCATTATTTAGAAAGGGGCCTAGCATCCATACAGGAAGGCATTTTTCCGGTTAAAGTATTTTAACAGATAGACTTTAAATCGGCCGAAATGGCTTTCTTGTCAATCTTTTTTTCCTGCTCTAAGAGTATTAAGTTTGTGGACGTCTAACATAACAAAACTTTAATAATTTTCTTCTGTGATGTGATTTCACTGAAGCCTCTTTCAGGTGTTTTAAGGAATGGCTCCATTCAGCCTTGAAAAAAATGTGTGATAGGTTTTAAATCTTGAGACTAATTTATCCAGTCCAAAACCTTTCACTTCCTGCCCCTGATGAACTCCTTGGTTGGCAGTGTTTTGGGTAATTATCTTACACCAACAAATATCAATGACCGTGCCCCACAAGAAGACATCCAAGCCCAAGCAACGAAATTACCTGCACTTTTTCAATGAGCGCATTCGTCACTTTGATAAAGCTTCGTCTTTGTTTTGTATGGTGATTGGGTTTAAACAATGGCTGTTACCTTCTAAGTCAGGGATGTCAAACTCATTTTTGTCACGGGCCACATTGTAGCTACCGTTATGGGTGTGAAACCATATCATCCCGGGCCTTGTGTTTGACACCTGTGTTCTAAGGTTTAAGTATCGTGTAATAAAAGCTAAAATGTTCTTCTCTTCATCATTTAATGATAAACCCAAATGTCTACAGCAATAACAGCAACAAAAAAAAAAGCAACACCCCCTCCCCACAACCCCCAAAAAAGAGGAAAATACAACTCTTACTTAGTTTTGGAATGGATGGAACAGTTACCATTAGAATTATTCCCATTCAAGTAGTTTTTGCAAGAACAATTCAAGTTTGATTGTGAACAAAATAGTACATTAATGTGAATAATTTTGTTACCGTCAGTGACGTTGATAGAGGTTGTTCCTGAGAAGAAAAAAGTGGAGGCAAAGTCAATAGTCCTGGCCCAGGCAGTGATTGACCTGCTGCCTTTGCTGCAAGGTAAATGCTTTTAATATCCTTGTTCATTTTACTGATGATTTTTTTTTTTATTGATTCGTGAACTTTTTAACAGCCAACTAAGGAAGATTGATAAGTATGACATTTTGATCTTTTAATTCAAATGTCATAGGGAGATGCTGTACCATTTTCTAAGCTACTTAAAGAATGGTTTATCAACTAAGTAATATACACAAAGAGTAAAGAGTCTCTTGATGCCTGGAGAATCCTAGCAAATTTCCCCAGTGTGGGACAAATAAAAGTTATCTTATCTTATCTTATCTTAACAACTTTCTGCGGACAGGTCAGTGCAGCTTCTCATGCACAGTGGCACTGCATGCAACGAATGCTGCCCCAGAGAAGGGATCCGTCCCACCCCTCATTGCCAAGGTCAGTAAGCTTTGCTAAGAACTGCACTGATCATACCGAAAGGTGTTTCATTAATTTTGACACTCTGTTGCAGCTAAATAATTTAACCAAAATGATGAGTGTCTATCAACTTAAAACTCCATAAACTTTCCACAAATGTGTCATAATTAATTATAGTTAAATATTATGGTTATTTTATTTCAATTTGTAGTTTGTGTGAGTAAAAATTGAATAGAGTGTGTAGCATGAGTCGATAATTACATTCTTTTTAGTATTAAAAAGGTGCTTCTCAAATGACAAAGTTATGAACCAACAGTGATTTCAGTTCTTGTTTCCTGTCAGTAACAGAGGCTTGTTTTCGCAATTGATGTTCAAAGCTCGGATTGCCTATTCCCCACCTGGGGATGAGTGAAGAAATTATTATTATTATTATTTTTGTCATTAGACATAACCCACTGCTGTATTCAGACACAGTGCTTGCTTTGTACTTCATAACACACTGAGATGCCTTCTGTTGCATATCCTAAGAAGAAGTTTGTTGCTTCCTTAGTCATCAACTTAAGTTTTCACAATGCCATACCACACTACAGCCTGTTTGACGTCGATTGGATTTAGTAAACCACAAATTATTGCAAGGAACCCAATGCATATCACACACACACACACACACGCACGCACGCACGCACGCACGCACGCACGCACGCACGCACACACACACACACACACACACACACACACATTATGATTACATTGGTTAAATTCACACCTATCAGACTCTCATCAATTATATGTAGATGTGGACTGAAGATAAAATGACCTCCTTCGTTTTGGAAGGAAATCACTTTTGCTATTTTTACATTCTAGTGTTGTTTTCACACAATAATCCAGGACATTTTACCCATGCAGCACCCCATTTTGGACGTATGTGTCAGTGCGTCAGCTCCATTACTGACTGAAGAGCAACTTGCAACCTCCAACCTGATGAAGGTGTCTTTGGAGACAGCCTATTCGCTCCCTGACACATTTAATCAAGGTTTTGGGCCAACCGCCCCTCCGTATATATGCACTGCTATGATGGAGGTCCCATATACCGCAGAGGTGAGTGTGACCCTTTGCTTTTTATGTACCCTCTTATCTTACAGTACAGAATAGCCTGGTATGAACCAGAATGACACCCAACAGTGTGCAGACCTTCACCGAGGCTCAACACTTAACAGCACCCCCAAAAAAAAACGTCTCTCTCATGACTTGTATCTGTTTGACTAACTCTTCGGTAGCTGGCAGGCTACTTCCTGTACATAGAGGACGATTGAAGCCTTTTTGCTCAGGGAATTGTGAATGGGTTTTTTTAACGGCATAGTGAATCAACCCAAAATAAATAATTCATTGAGAAAAGTATTTGTGCCTACATTTCACAGGTTGTTCCTTGGCTTATGCATTACCTTTGTGCAAAGTTTTGTGAAGTTATGAAATAAACATTTTATTTGAATAACAACAGAACCCTTCGCCTGCGCTTTGTACTTGGCGAAGATAACAATTTGAATTCTGATGTTGTATTGCAGTATTATTATTGTCATGAAAAACGGTTCGCAATTTTTCCTGCAACTTCCAAAAGTAACTGCTTTGGTGTTCAATTGCTCCTCTGCCTCCCAGAAAGACCAGCTCTTGTTGTTTAGCGAAGGACAGCTAAAGGCCGGGGGCCACAGAGAAGACAATGGCCGACAGAGGAAGAGACCTCATCATGCCCCGCTCGCTCCAGGGAACCACTTCTTGCCAGGGGCTTTTTTCCACACCCAACCCATTGATCAAGAAGATGGCGAGCTTACTGGTTTAGAGGTAATCTACCCCCAAATTCAGGCAATACTGAATATAGTAGATAGTACTATTCACTAGACTCTGCATTCAGTACAGTGGAACCTCTGAAGTCAAACTCCCCACAGTTGCAAGTTTAACCAAGTATGCATCGCAGTCAAGACTTAGCCAATCATCATCATGTGTGACATCTCACAAAACTCCCAACAAATCTTGTGAGACTTCAGCTTTCTTCGCAAGTGATTTTTTTTTTTTTTTAATTTGTGGTTTTTGTGGGTAGGGGCCCAAAAATAGAAGGGTGATGATGACCGTTGAACTACAATTAGAACTTACTGTGACATATGGAAGGGCCTGGCCGACCAGGGCAATAAAAAAACAACAGCAGCAACAACAAAACTGTTGATTAAATAAAGCAAGGCTCTAATTCCAAAAGTGCCTTTGAAACAATGCCAGGCTTCTTCAAAGATTGAATTATATTAAAAAAAAATTAATATACAATGGCTCACTTCTGTTTATGATAGGAATGTTAAAATGTTACTTCTGTCCGCTCTCAAATGCTGCAGGCATATCCACTCAATGCGACAAAACCATGCCAAGCTCAACTGTCAATCAAAGACCACTACTACGAATGGATGCTATAGACTAGAGCATCATTCTTATGACTGCACACATGGTATATGTCAAAACATATCAATGGTTTATTTGATTATTGACTTTGAATTTAGAGGAGGCATTTCAAAGTATAGAGAAGAAGATAATGACTTAAAATAAGCCACAAGACTGAAGGTGTGAATGTCCACTACAGGACCGTGAGTTCCGTAATGAAGCAGAGACCTTACTGAACAGAGTGAGCTGGGACACAGAAATGCCCTGTTTTCTGGATGCAGAAGGAGTTAACAGGTCAGCTTCACACAGGACTTTATTTCCCCATCTGAGGGATGATGTGTATAGGCATTACCAAATTCATTTCTCACCAAAAATATCTCCCTGTGAATTGTTGAAACTCTCAAAAGTCGCTTATTGAAATTGTTTTACTTCATGCGCTTACTTCACAAGCATCACATTACAAATAACACATTGAAGCAGATAGATGCAAGCATAGGAGACTTATCTTTTGGCTGATCGTTAACCACAGGCAGCAAAATCCAAATGCAAGACTAGTTTGATGAAATGGGCTGTCCCATGATTCTGCGTGTGCCTATGCCATTCAAATCGTATTATATGACATGATGTGTGTGCAGTAATAAGGTTGGCATTAATATGCAAGATGATGTATTGCAATACTGCCTGTGATTTCAGGCTGCGTCAGAAAATCACAGAGAGCAGATTCTGGCCACTTGAGATCATGAAGTCAACTATTGCCAATGAAAAGTCGGGAGCAGCTTCCAAGGTGGTGAGACTATCTCTGCTAGGATGGGAACATTTTATGTGTTGTGTGGCTTTAACCAGCTAATGCAGCACCTTGCTGAAAATCAAACTATAGACCAGCATAGGTGCTCACCAACATAACCTCCTTATGCTGGTTTTGTTTTGTTTTCATGATCAGCAAAACCAGCACGGAAACACAATAAAACCAGCTGATGACACCAAACCAGCATGTTGGTCTTGCTCGTGTCACCAGCAAGACCAGCATGCTGGTAGCTGATGACACCAGCATGAAAACAACAAAAATAGCGAGGACTGAAAAGGTTAAACCTTCGGTCACTGATCAACCCGCTGTACCACCTGAGCCACAGTCGCCCATTAAAACGTTCATGCTTTGTTGCTCTGGTGGGAGCTGGTGATACCAGCAAGACCGGCACGAAAACATAACAAAGCCAGCAGTGAACGCTTGCACCAGTGTGTACCAGCATTAACCACTGTGTGGCTCTTTTCTGATAATGAATAATACATTTTTTTTCTGTGTAGCAAGCTGAGGAGGACCCACATATCCCCTGCCATGGTGTGGCCTTTATTGATATGGGCCGCTTATTGTATCCAGGAGTTACCCATATCCGAGGAGCATACAGTATTCAACCTTACTCGAGCACTTTATTACTTAACAAGGTACTAGAAGCACACTTAAAAATGTTTCTTCAATTAAAATTTTGAATTGAGCTTCCTATATTCATGATTCAAGATGTCTTGATGAATATTTCCAGTTCGGTGGACTTTTATTGACATCATTTTTCATTCAACATCTGGTTCTCATTTTTAGTTATTTTTGGTTGTTAGTCAATCCGGTTAATGAAGTCCCAAGAAAAGAAATATTTACTCTCACCCAGAGGAGTATTCAAGCCAGATAGACAGTACCATACCCACAGACCTATGACAGTTATGATCAGTTGATTCACCACTCATCACTGTGAACCATTTCTCAACACTAATGTGATCCCATCTGATATCCTTCCTGCTTTCCTGTGTAAATGTTGCATGAGGATATTCTCTCACATCATAAACCAAGGCGGCCGTGGTCCAGTGGTTAGCGCGTCGACCTCACAATGCAGAGGTACCGGGTTCAATTCCAGCTCCGGCCTTCCTGTGTGGAGTTTGCATGTTCTCCCCGGGCCTGCGTGGGTTTTCTCCGGGTACCCCGGTTTCCTCCCACGTTCCTGCATGGCAGGCTGATTGAACACTCAAAATTGTCCCTAGGTGTGAGTGTGAGCCTGGATGGTTGTTGTTCTTTGTGTGCCCTGCGATTGGCTGGCAACTGGTTCAGGGTGTCCCCCGCCTACTGCCTGAAGACGGCTGGGATAGGCTCCAGCACCCCCCGCGTCCCTTGTGAGGATAAAGCGGATCAGAAAATGGATGGGTGGATGGATCATAAACCAAAGGACACAGTAATTAATATACACCTCATATTCTAATGATGTATTCTGAACTTTTTTTCTGTGTTCTGTAGACCAGGCGAAATGTCAGTTTGTTGAAAGAGCAGTTAAAGCCTGGAGGCAACAAAGAACGTTCTGGTACAGCTACAGCTACAAGCTCTGTAAAGACAAATACGGGAAAGGCCAAGGACACCAAGGCACATGTTAAGGTTCGTATGTTTAGGAACTTCATACTTTATTTACATGGTGGGAAGTGATGCCATCTTCCCTGTTTTGTTCTACATAGTAATAGGTACAAAATATACAGTACTGGCCTACAATAACTCTGAAAACATAAGGCCTTAACCTAGCCTATGATAAAGTATTAGCTCTTTAGATATCATGAGCAGTTGGTTGTGTCCCTCCTCTTTGTTTGATATCTATTAATCTCCATTAGAAGCAACAGGTACATTTTGTGTTGTTTACCGCCAATTTATTTTAATTGGTGTGGTCGATATTGTGCCAGGCGACTGGCAATCAGAGTGGAGTGGCAAGCGTGACTGATTTGAATGGAGCTGATCACATCCCTCCAGACAGGAAAGTAAGCTTGCGCATCTTTTCCAAAAGATGACTCTTGAAATGAACCCTCAACATGACACAATCTCTTTTTCATTAATGGCAGGCGTACATAGACTTCAGGACATATGTTATGATTGAAATTACACTGACGAATGCACTAATCCCCAAAACATCTTCCGAAGAGTTGGCAAGAAGGTACTGTAATACACTCCAGATTACAAATCCGGAGTGCTTACCGCAACCATATAAGATTTTGGCCCAAAGTTGTTGCAGAATATGAGCTGTAAAATAATTTTGACAGAATACTCTGTATGCTAGATGTTTGCAGGTTAGATACATGATGTTGGGAGAGTGAGTAAAAACATGCATATTTCTGTATCTCCTGCAGAGTGAGAGCACTGATCCCTCCGAGACCTCCATCTTCTGGAGGACCTAACAAAGCTGAACGAGTAAATAACATTAACACCATTTATATGGACATACACGATATGGACAAAAAGTATTGGGGAACACCTTTTAACCTGAATTGACACTGAATTTGCTAATGTTCCAGACTGATTTAGTATGGTGCCCAGCCAATGTTTTTTTTTTTTTTGTCATTTCAAAGTGACTCATATCTGATAAGACCGCTTACTGAAGTAACCCGCATGCGCAAGCTTGAAACACAGGCAAGCATCCATGCTGTTACAAAAGCTGAAGTGAGAACAGCAACAGATAGGAAGTAAACAAAAAATGTATACAATGTAATTGGTGCCTTTTTAATGGCCATGAAAAACAAAAATACACACAAAAAAAGATGACAAGCAAGATACTGGGTAAAAAAAAATTAAAAAGTGGGGATTCTGTAAAATAAAAGGTGAATTGCAGTTTATTTATTTATTGTTGTGAATAACAAGGATAGGTTCCCCACAAAATCTGTGAATAGGAGAATTCATGAACTCCAAACCGCAAATGCGGAGGTTCACCGTATACCCAAAACTGCATCTGATTAGTAAATACTTGAGGCAATGTCATGGCATCATCGCCATTGTGGAGTTCCAGGGTGTGAAGCTGTCAAAAAAAGTATGATAAAAAAAAAAAAAAAAGTTTAATAAGGGGTACACTGATGGATCATCAGGTACAGAAGTATTGGCTTTGCAAATGCTGGTAAAAAGTGGTACTGCTTAACCGCACTGTGCCAACTGAAACGTTTGGTAGAGGAGGGTTCATGGTTTTTTTTTTTTTTGTCATTCCTTGACAAAGGCGCTTACTTCCAGGGATTTTGAATGGACATTTTCAGCTTACCAAGACTTTTTGCACAATAGGAAGTGAATGACTTGTTAGGCATGTTAGTCCTGAAGCAGTTAATCTTACGGATGGGTTTGATCCACACTTCAACGAACCCAACACACTGTACATGTTTTTGGACTGTGTGAGAATGTCTGTACGCAAACACTATTAGTCATCACTCATATCTTCTTTACCTACTAAACTACAGTAGGGCTGGGCAACCTTTGTGCTAATGAGCCACATTTCATATTTTAAAATGGAAAGATTGTCCACACCATTTGGAGATGGGATCGAAAGTGTATGTAAAATAGTTTAGTCTGATGACAAAAGATTAATTCATTCTATTTTCAAATTTATATTATTTAATTTAATCATAACTAACCAATTATTTAAGAAAAAGTAAAATTATTATTTTCTGTTATTGTTTCCAGTACAGCAATACAATAATTATTTAATGATACAATGAATATAATTATTTAATGATAAAATGAATAATAATAATATCGATGATGATGGGCGGTTGACTAGTTAGCACGTCGGCCTCACAGCACAGAGGTGCAGGGTTCAATTCTGGCTCCGGCCTTCCTGTGTGGAGTTTGCATGTTCTCCCCGTGCCCGCGTATCTTTTCTCCCAGTACTCCGGTTTCCTCCCACATTCCAAAAACATGCATGGCAGGTTAATGGAACACTCTAAATTGTCCCTAGGTGTGAGGGTGAGTGCAAATGGTTGTCTATTTGTTCTCTGCGATTGGATGGCATCCAGTTCAGGGTGTCCCCCGCCTACTGCCCGAAGACAGCTGGGATAGGCTCTAGCATGCCCGCAACCCTCCTGATGATAAGCTGATCAGATAATGGATGGATGTTGATGATGATGATGGTAAAGACATTTTAATTAGCCAGTTTCTTTGGGGGTACAAAACCGCTACATTAATGCAACAAACATTGCCGTATTCTTGATAATATACAGCATGTGTTTGGTAGGCAGGAATAGAGTGAGCTATATGTGGCGTGGGGGGCCATACTTTGCCCCAACCCTGTACTAAAGTATTTACACTTTTTCTTTTACACAGGCAGTGCTGAATTTTCACAAGCAGGTGGGCAATGTGGTAAAACATATTTTGGAGCAGTATGAGGAGTTGTTTGGAACACGACTCAAACTGCCCAATGATTGCAATCGAGAGCAAATGATGGCTCAGCTCATGGGAGCTCTTAATGTGTCCGGGAGATATTTTGCCTTCAAAGAGCAAATAAAGGTCTGGATAACTCCATATGTCACCATTTTACTTTCAAAACATAGATGTGTCAGCCAGGTGTGCTGTCGTCTGCACGTTTTATGCAGTGATTGACTGTGTGTGTGTTCTTGTTGTGTGCAGCCCACTGTGGTGAGGTTTGTGCGTGACAAGATGCAGCAGACAGACACATTTACTGAGCAACAGGATCTGCATGAATTCATCAGCAAGCTCTACGTGGACCTGGTGGATGAGATGCATGTTGCTCTCAACAAAGTACATACAAAAACACTTTCCCAACCACATGAACACACCAGGGTTATAATTGTTTGGAATCATTAGAATTAGTTTTTATTTCATTTTGACTTATCAGTTTGAATTAGTTTTTAGAGCAGGCTTGTTTGTTTTAATTATTTTTTATTTTCTGAAATGCTTCATTTCAGTTTAGTTTGTATTCAGTGTTTGTCGAGTGCGAGAAAAATAAGTAAAAAGGTCACTCAGTATCATGTGATAAAGTAGACTACAATTCCCAAACGACTGTGCAACCTTCCTTCTTTTGTACATGCATACAGCAATACTAAAATAAATACATCTAAATTAACTCTGAAAACTCATGGATGACATTCATTGACAAAGAAGCAAACTAAAACTTGCTATCTTTATAGTCTTCCAAATGTAAGATGTAGTTTTTTTGTTTTTGTTTCATTTTTTTTTAAAGAATATTCATTTTTTATTTCGTTGACAACAACGGTTCCTCAAATTTAGTTGTAGTTTTTTCCATTAGTTTTCATTAACTATAATAACGTTGGCACACGCAACACACATGCATTTGCAAACATACACAGATGATTTTATAACTACTTTAATCCTTTCCCCACTAGATTTATTCAAATGGAAATGAGGATGACTCTCCTGAGGAGATCCATTTGAATACCTCTCATCTGAGTCACTTTGCCCGAGAGGCTCAGCTCATTGGGGATTATCAACAAGCTGTTCGCTACTACCAAGAGGTGCAACTACACTTCAAACAAAACTCAACTCTAATTTGAACCTCTTGCTCAAATGCATGGTCACTTCAGATTCCAAAGTATTTTGCCCTTCTGAACAATCGTGCTGATGACTGAAGCAAGCCAAAAAAGTCCAGAAATGGTGTGTCTAATTTTCTGCAGCTCGTTGTCAGGCATCCCCGTGATCCCTCTTACAAGTTTGAGTGGGGAAACCTCTACATGCAGACCGGGGATTACATGAAGGCGAAAATGTGTTTCCATGATGCTGTTGCCGTCCAGCAGTCCCACCAGCCCAGGTCAGAGCGAGGCCGTCATGGTTTCATGTTGAATGTAGTTATTCAAATGTGTGTGCTAAAGAGAGGACCGCTAACTCAGAACCTGTTTGTTTATGTCATTTAGTCTGATGATGTGTGGTGTGCTGGCAGCCTTGTTTAATGATTTTGAGCAGGCTGAGACTTTCTTGGAACGAGCAACCAGCATAGAGCCTCTAAGTTTGATAGCCTGGACTTTGCTGGGTAGGTCTAAGCCCTGAAACTGGGGAGATGCATGCAGAAGGAAGTCTCTTTCTGTTCTCATTTGCTTTCCAGGTTTGGTCCAGGACACCCAGAATAAATCCATCCTCGCTGAGAGGGCTTTCCTAGAGGCCAAAAGCCTCCTGAAAGCAAAAGAAGCAAGCAATCAGACACAAAAGACGGAAGAGTCAGATGTAGATGAGGAAAGTGAAAAGCAGAAGGGCCAGGAAGAAGACAAGACCATTCCACCGACAAGCCACTCTCCTAATATGAAGCATAGTGGTAGGAATCTAATGGCACATGGACGGTTTCTATTTTAACACTTTCAGGAACAGCGGTTACTACAGTGGACAGCCTATCAGATTACCAGGTTCTCGGTTATCATTATTGGTGTATGAAAGGGTTAAGAGTTTCCCGATATTCGTGCTTTTGTAACGAATTTCTGATGTACTACACTTTCATACAACACGGTATTGTATTATATTTACATTTAGGTTGCTTCAGAAAGCGGTCAAAATAAAAAAGCAGTGCGTTACTTAAAAATAGAATAAACACCCAGAGCAGATGTGCATTTTGAAAAAAAAAAAGCCCATGTTAAGTTACACTTAATTGAGTACCGGTAAATAATTTTCAAGATACAGTACTTGAAATTCCAATTAAAAAATATAGATAGATAGATAGAATATAAGACATTAATATCGGTATATTCATCTGTCTTTTAACTTTTTTGTAAACCTGAAAAGATTTGAGTGGTAGTGAGGCACCATTCTACAATGGCCGTTTTCTCTCTCCCAGACACTGAGAATGGTGATACCGTACATAGTGAGCCGAAAGAAAAAGTCATCTCCAAATCCATTTACACCGAGACCCTTGAGTTTCTGTTGCACAACCATGCCCTGGAGGTAAATAAGCACACGGCAGCTCTTTTTTCAAGACTCACACTGATCAAATGTAGATGAAAACAAATTGAAGAATTGACTTCTATTGTAATGTTGTAACCCTGTGGGCAAAATGTTAAGTAATCTCTCTTCAACATATAAACATAAAAACCTGGGGAAAGTCACAGATCCATTTGTAACATCTACAGTGAGTCTGGCACCTTCTCTCTATTCTCAGATGGCAGAGCGCGCTCTTTCCAAGGAACTGTCTTCAAAGGGCAATCACAGTTTTCATCTGGCTTGTGTCCAGTTGCTCAGAGCTGAGTATTGCAATGCCATTGTCACCCTCAGAGAGGCGCTGCTTGGGGTAGAGCAGGTAGGGACCCCCTGCTGGTGTCATTCAAACACACCTTTTGGAATTATAATCGCTCGTGATTTATTCAGACTATGTCACATTTTCCCACATGCGTTTGTGGCATTGTGTTGACTGAAGCATGCTTTTTTTTTCATGCTGCGAGCAGGTTGCAGATATGTGGGCTCTGGATGGTCACTGTCACTACTTATGTGGTTCATTTGCCGAGGCCCAGGGGAGTTATGAACGGAGCCTAGACTTCCCAGAGCAGCCATTAGACAACCACCTTGTGCTTCTCCGCCTGGGATCCATCTATCTACAGGAGAGAAAGGTTAGGCATAATATATGCCAGGCATTGCATGGCTCATTGCTGAATGATTGTGACAGTTGGTTTGATGTCACGGATTCAAATTGTCATTGCCCTTTTCTGCTGTTCTCTTTAGTTTGAGCAAGCAAAAATGACTTACCTGCGAGCCTGTGAGAAATCTCCCTCCTGCCTCACCTGGTTGGGCCTGGGTATCTCCTGCTACCGGGTAAAAAGCCATCTAGGATATTACTAATATTTAGTGACGCTGAAAATTACGTATGGTCTTACAAACTATATTCTTTTCTCTATATTATCTGTCAGGGAAAACTAACCACATCTTCAATGTGGGCAATATTGCGTGCTGTTGGGAGAATTGTGTACACCATTTTGCAAAAAGTTATTGTTATACGAAATCCGCGCTGCAATTAATTTCCAAGCTTGTGTGCTTCTATGCAAAAGCTTAAATTGCTCTCGTAAGAGTTTGTGATTAGAAAGACAAATACAGATGCGGAGAATGGATGGAAGAACATGAAATAATGCAAAGTCTAGGTTGAAAGATCAACAATACGTTTGACTGGACAATCTGTACAGGTATCTCTTGCTTTCCTGTCTTGCCTGACAAAGGTTGCTTTGGTATACAGTAACTATATATACACACACACACACACACACACACACACACACACACACACACACACACACATATATATATATATATAGTAATCCCTCGTTTTTTGCAGTTAATTGGTACTGAACACCCCCGCGAAAAGTGGAAAACCGTGAAGTAGGATTTGAATGCCTCGGAGTTTTCGTGTATGTGGATGTAATGTTTGCAAGCAGTTAAATGTGAACCAGGATTTCACGGTTCCACAGTATGTTAGCACTCTCTGTTGAAGCAAAAATGACTTACCTGCGAGCCTGTGAGAAATCTCCCTCCTGCCTCACCTGGTTGGGCCTGGGTATCTCCTGCTACCGGGTAAAAAGCCATCTAGGATATTACTAATATTTAGTGACGCTGAAAATTACGTATGGTCTTACAAACTATATTCTTTTCTCTATATTATCTGTCAGGGAAAACTAACCACATCTTCAATGTGGGCAATATTGCGTGCTGTTGGGAGAATTGTGTACACCATTTTGCAAAAAGTTATTGTTATACGAAATCCGCGCTGCAATTAATTTCCAAGCTTGTGTGCTTCTATGCAAAAGCTTAAATTGCTCTCGTAAGAGTTTGTGATTAGAAAGACAAATACAGATGCGGAGAATGGATGGAAGAACATGAAATAATGCAAAGTCTAGGTTGAAAGATCAACAATACGTTTGACTGGACAATCTGTACAGGTATCTCTTGCTTTCCTGTCTTGCCTGACAAAGGTTGCTTTGGTATACAGTAACTATATATACACACACACACACACACACACACACACACACACACACACACACACATATATATATATATATAGTAATCCCTCGTTTTTTGCAGTTAATTGGTACTGAACACCCCCGCGAAAAGTGGAAAACCGTGAAGTAGGATTTGAATGCCTCGGAGTTTTCGTGTATGTGGATGTAATGTTTGCAAGCAGTTAAATGTGAACCAGGATTTCACGGTTCCACAGTATGTTAGCACTCTCTGTTGGTGAAGGTCTGAGACTACAAGCAGTTGACCACAGACCAGTTATGTCATTGTCTGTCTGATTATTGATGTTATTGCAAGCAACAAATATCACAGGTACCAGCATGTTTAAAATACGTAAACCGTATTTATACTTAACATATTTGAGACAAAGATTACAACAGTACACGTATTTACTTAAATGTTTAACTATAAAACCTTATACAGTAATTAACATTCATCAACATTGCCTTCTTACAAAGGCGAAAAGGCTTGTGTTGATGGCGTGGAAGGCGCCTCTCACTTGACTTGTCGGCTATTGTGCTGGAGGCACTGACGCAACTCCTTGCCGCCGCCGTTGAACCAACGTGACCCTATTGATGCTGTTATCTCCGACGAGCGGGTTTACGCACTCGCACACAGCCGGGACACATTGCTTCGGTGGAGGCAAGGGCTTGGAGAGCAGCTTAACTAATCGAAAAAAGTTATCATTTAAACAAAAAAAGTTATCAAGGACACAATATTAACATACAGTATGCGAGGCAGTCAGTCGATAGACTGCTGATGATGCGTGGCCAGTAAGCACACAGGATAAATCCACTTGTGCTGTCATTCGTCGATGTCGCGTCCGGACAAATTCCCGCCCCTTGTTTGATTGGACATGTTCAAAGCCTCTGAGTCACATCTTCTCATTGTTCGGCATGCATGCTTCTCTTTCACCGCATCACCGTGAAACGTTACGCCTTTCTGCAATATGGTTGCCGATATGGCTGCATTTTAAAATAAAATATTGGAAAAAAGAAACGTGAAACACTGAAGCCGCAAGACTTGAAGCGCGAGGTGGCGAGGGATCACTGTTGTCCAGATTTTCATTGTGAAGCTTTGTATAATTTTATTTATTTGATTTTTTTTCCTTTGATGTTCATGAGGAAAAAGGAAGACTGTGTTAAAAGTGTCTTCACGTGTCTTGACTCTATAGCTGGATGAACTTTGGATAGCTGAAGAGGCTTTGACAGAGGCCAACCATTTGAACAACCAGAACGCTGAGGTGTGGGCCTACTTGGCGCTGATTTGCCTCAGGGTGAGTGAAAATGATGCTATGACTGGTGTTGGTTTCCTGTGACATTTGTTTTGTTCAAGTTAAAAGACCTCAGGTTTACCCTCAGATCAGAGAACACATGCACTTCCATCACTTCTCTGAACTTGGGAAATTCCCTTTTCACAGCCACAATACTCGTGTGATGTTGTCATTTCAGTTTGACAGACAAGAGGAAGCGACACTGTTCTACAAATACGCTATCAGGGTGAGTTAGACTCGTCTGTTTCTCGAAATATGTGTTTGTGCATTTCTTTTTTACAGCCCAAACCTGACTATTTTCTTGGTGAGCTTTATATTTTCTCGTTTTACAGTTCAACTTGGAGAACACGTCACTTCACAAGGAGGTGAAAGAGCTGCAGGATCAGGCCCAAACTCGTCCTCTGGCGTCATGCTTTGAACCAGACTCTTAACACAGAGGTTTCAATCTTGAGAGCAAACACAAAAATAAAACCCAGTGTCCATGATATGGTACAGGTAGTTACATTTTTTTCGACTACAGTGAACTGTTGTAAAACTATGTACTGTTTATCTAAGTGGAATGATCAGATTTCTGTTGTTAAAATAGACTCTTGTTACTCAAAGATGTCCTTAGCATCTGAGATGGTGAAAAAAAATGGATGGAAAGCAGAAGAAATGTGACCCCTTAATTTTTAATCACCAGCACCATAAAACAGAGATTCTCCCTTACATACAACAGGCGATCCCTGACTGTTTTCTCAGATCTTCTTAAATGGTGGAAGGCTTAAACGATTTGGCATTGATTGAAGGGTGACAGTTCATAAATCTGCAGTAGTTGAAGGTCTTATTTCACTGTAACCGAATAACATTCTCTGCAGTGTTATTCTAGTGGGTCCCATTTACTGGTGACACTCTTCTCATGGAACTCACATAAAGAGGAATAGTTGAACTGTTATCCATGAGAACAAACATTTTGCACACAAAGCTCAGTGATGTATGTCATTACAGTGTGTTGTGAAGATGATTGAATAAGATAAGCAAATGGTAATTAGTTGAGAGCTGACAAAAATATTTTCAATGATAGAAATTCTAAATAATGATAGAATGGTTGTGTCAAGGCTTGCAGTTATATTGGAGAGCATCACTGTGGGAGTTCACACACAATTTTATAAAGTGCTATGGAACTCATATTGCTGCAAAACAACCCAGGTTGAAGCCAAACCTTAACTCCGATGAATGTTCAATAAGTGACCGACATCAAAATAAAACTGTTTAATCTCATATAACAAACACAACAACATACATGCTATGATTTGTATGTTTATAAACCAATGGAAATACAGGCAGTCTTTAAAAGTATGCAACACACACAAAAAAAGGACATGAGACTAAACTTGTTCAGAAGTCCCAACGTGACATTCAAATTTTAAAACAAAATAAGACTTAAAATATATGGACACATTTTGGCACATGGAAATAACATTTTTCACTCTTATAATTCCTGTGGTGTGTGGCAAGTTCAGTCCGACTAAGTATGTCAGAGGATATGCTATTCTTGCAAAATAAAATGCAGCAGCTTTTGAGGAACAAAGCCCATTTACCACATGCTACTGGTCTTAAGGATTTGAGAGAGTCTTGTGTCTTTTGTGTTTGGAGGTAGGGGTGGGGATCACTGCCTGACCTGTGCAAAGACCTCTCGCAGCCACGCTGAATCCTCATACAGGCGAGGGTCACCCAAACACTCCGAGGTCCTCTTGTAGAAGTAGTAGTACAACACAGATGCTGTGAAGACATTTGAAAACATAACAATCGGGGAACTACATTTCTTAAACACAGTATGATGTAAAGTATCTCTGGGGAAAAAAAAAAAAATCTAATTTTGTCAACAACGCGAATACTGAGAGTTACTGCATATCAGCTTTTCACTCCAATGCTTTGCCACAAATTAGGTGGCACTTTTTATCATGACCACCAGAGACACATGACAAATATTTTGAAATATTGTTTTTATACTTTTATCATTAAAATTCATGGCCCTTCCAGGGAGTTGATGTACAGTTTTGATTTTGAAAGGAACGTTTTCAAAACATCAGTTGGGTTTTACTCATTTATGTGGGCAGTAAATAACCTGCCGTTAAAGCGCTCGGACCACAGAACACAGCGCAGATAAAACCAAGATACAAGGGTATGATATGTTTTGGGCAGGATCAAATGGAAAGAACAATGACTGCATTAGTTCATTTGCTGATCCACGTATTAGATTACTTGCACGTGTAAATCCAAATTACATGAAAAGGGTCACTCCATGAACCTGTTCATATCAAGAAAAACTGCACACAACGTTGATGATGCCCAAGTTTGCTATCTCTGGCCTTCAGTGAAAATGAATACAAGATGAATCATGTGGAGAAAGACACAACATCTTAAAATTGGCTTAGTAGCCTTGAAATACCAGCTGTATACAATACTTGTTTCACGTTAATGCTTGGAATCAGCTATACGTGCTGAACAAAGAGCAATGAAAGGTGTCGTTACGTGATGAGGTGTCTCACTTGGGTTGAAATATGAGGGACATTGGCATTCTTACCAGCTCTTTGGAACACAAATAACACTTGAAGGCCATCTGTCCAAATAAATCGTTTGGTGTTTAGCCATCGCAGATTCTGAAAATATGGAGAAAACATCACTCTTGACTTTGCTCTCAAGCATTGCTTTTAATCACACAATACAAAGACCAGATGTGGAATGAGCAGATAGTCGGAGTCACTGAAACATATTGAATGCTAATGTTGTTTTGCATTCAAACACAAGGCTTGATGAATATAACAAAGTGGTCGAATCCAATTTATAGTTTGGCAGATGCTGATCAGATTGAATGCCGATGCAAGGTTTGGACTAAATCACATGTGAATAGATGATTGCTGTTGTGGCCAAACAACTTCCAATTTTTCTGGTTTTGAGGTTTACAGACAACATTAATAGGTGGCTAAGTCACAAGCCTGTTCACCAAGAAAAAAACAATGTCTGGTCTCCAATGGTAACCGATGCAATACAGCAAAGTTGGTGAACTCATATTAACCCAAACCCTGTGTCACAAACTGCCTTCCCTTAGGTACAATCTTTTCACTGCACTTTTAGAATAGAGTGCGAAAGCATTTTTTAATTGGTAGGCCTACTGGTTTGAAAGTTCATGTTAGCAGTATCATATTTTTGCAAAATACCTGCTTCCACTCACCATGAGCCAGGAATGGAGTATTACACTGAAGGTCAAATAGAGTGCAGAAAGCATTAGCAAAGCTCTAAATCTCTCCAACAATATGGCTACCAGGCCGACCTGGAACACGTAGGTGTTAAACAGCATCAAGAGAATGATGATGAGGTTGAACAAGATGGCAATGTCCTGAATTCTATAAATGAAAGACAAGGAAAGAAGGGAGTAGATATTTTATAACATGGAAGGGCTTTGTCATTATCAGATGGGTACAACAATTTTCTTTCTGGAATCATCTCCAGTGTGTTTCACTGCACTGTTGGACTTACACAAAAAGTACCAGTTGGACAGCTTGTTCATCTCGAAGTAGCTCACTGAATGAGTTGACAAACAGGTCGAAGGAGAGCAGGCTGAGCTGAATAAGCAACACCAATGAGTAGTTGCTGGGTTGGAGCTTCTCCGTTCCACAGGCTGGGCGCCCGGGCGGATTCTGATTCCACAATGGATCCAAGGCTGCACTGATCTCTATGTACAAACAACAATCTGCAATCGGACCTCGTGATGGTTTGAGAGGCGCATTGAGACCTTCCCTTGGTTGGTAATGGGGTCACTTTGTTGGATGAACTGTCTGGAATAGACCGCCGACATGTCAAGGATGACACTGGTAGTATTGCATCAGTTCAGGCGGCGTGGTGGTGAAGCCTCCACTAATGGCAAAATTCTACTTATTTTCATTTTTTATTTTTATTTTTTAATAATTCTTCATATGGAACGTGGAGAGACGTCTGCAGCCAAATGCAGATCCTGTGGAAAATGACACATGGGAGACACATTTGTATTCTACTTGAGAGTGTCATCCTGCAAATCATATTTACTGCATAGTGCAAATGTCATTCTCTTACAGATTTGCATTTATTCATGAGGTGTCCTGAATTTGATTGGAAAATTCACACGCGCGCAGACACGCACAGATTGAGTCTATGTCCTTCCAAACTGTCACACAGGAAAGAGGGAGAGAGAGAGAGATGAGTGTTTCTGGCTACATCAGTCGATAATCAGGACTTTCAATAAAGGACCCAGTACTGGGTGAAAAATGTGTCTTTGTGTGGGGAGTTTGATGACATTTCATGACGTCTGTCAATACAATCGGAATACATCAACTGCTAAGTCAGATACGGTTGACGGCAATAAATTAGAGGCCTAAATACAACTTTCTAATTGTGTCGTGTGAAGGACCCAACATTTCTTGAAAGATATCTGCTGATTTATGTTCTGTCAGCTGCTTTGCAAAACGAACAGCAACATTAATAAACTGTTTAGTATGATCTTGCTTGACCTTACATCTGGACCTAATCTTGACCAGAACACATTTACAGCAATTTATCAACAAGAATAATAAAAGGTCTTTAACTAAAGCATCATGTAGTGCAAAGCGATTTCAAAGAAAAGTGAGTTTTAAATTTTGAAGACATTTCAAAAGACCTATTTTGTTTGAACATATTCCATGCAGTCTTGCGATTGCGCTTTCCTTTTGTTGGCAGCTGATGTTTGTAAGAATGTGATTGCTTTAATGTCTGATAAATGCAACCCAAATAAAATACCTCTAATACACATAGCTACATATAGGTCATATTCCACTAAAGGCCCCACTGACAATTAAACTGAAAGACATGTGCAGATGGATAAATGAAAATTGTTTACCTGAATGCATTCGTCGAATGCTCCCTTGTGCGATGATTTTAAATATTCCATAAAGAAAAGATAACGCATGAGTATCGAGTTACTTGCATCCGTTAAAAGAATAACAGTCCCAATTCATCACCATCTGCCATCTGAAAAAAACAGGTCCACTTTTCATTGTAGTTGCTGCCTCTGGGATCATATGTGAGGTCTTATACATACGTTTCTCAGACCTGTCTGTATCCTCTGAGCCAGGATGAATGCACGACAGTCCCCCAACCGACACCTGGTGTATCCTCTTTTCGACCTATGAGGCCCATCCAGGAAATGTATTAATAGCTTGGCACAGCCATAACAGGTGTGTGGGAGATTAGGCCTCCTCTTCCAACGCAGAACAACAACCTAGAGACCAAATAGTGACTAATGGAGATGAACAGAGGTTAGCGGTATGCTTGTCCATAAACAATTTGATGAAAAGTGTGACTACAGAAAGTGAGGAATGGCCCTGCAGATAAATGGGGTAGAAATGCTCAATTTTAAATGTGACAACACTAAAATTTATTCATAACGTCATCCAGCCTATTCTTAATCTCATCATCATTTTTTTCTAACCGGTGCGTGTGTCAGCACATTTGTATTCTTGTGATTACTATTAAAAATCTGTGGTCTCTGTGATGGAGTATGTAGCTGCGGTTGAGCTGACAATTTAGTACTTTCCCAACTAATGTTTTAGAATTCCCAGATATTTTGCCATTATTGAGATTATATTCTCTTTGTTTGTGACGATCCTCTAAATCCAAATGGCAACACTAACACAAATGCGTTTGTTTACCTGTGATATAACATGCCCTGCTCCAAAACACAGGGCATACTAAGTGATAAGAACTGATGGATGTTTTAGCAAATGTTTTATTTGTTCCGTTTTGCACTAAGTGGTTAAAATGCAAATGATATTGAAGGTCACCACTTTAAATACAGATTCATCTCAGTAATGACCAAATAATGTAGATGAAATGGTAAAATGATTTTTAAATGTGTTTATTTTATTGTGAAAATGTTTTTTTAATTTTCAATGTGATTTTTTTAAGTGGTATGTACCCACCCTTTGTACTACATTTAAAGTGCATAACATGGACAGATTTATGACCGCTCACAATAATAATACTGGATACTGTCTAATGGGGTCAACAACCTTTTTGAAATTGAGAGCTATTGCGTAAGGTACCGATGTGATGGGCTATCAGACAGTTTATATCCATCTGTTTTCTCTGTGAAGAATTTTCACATACATGAATGTAGCTAGAGATGAATATAAGCTGTCTTCACTGAATACACCGTTGATGTCCATTATGTCACACAGAAATTAGTCATGACAGTTGAGAAACTGAAAAGTATTCAAAGCTTTATTGCATTTTGTACTATACCTTTATTAAAATCTCAGCAAAAGTGTTTACATTTTCAAACGACCACTGAACTTTTACAAGAGCAACTTCAAGGAAATCACAATGTTCCACTACTGACGAGCTACATTAGAAAAGGCCAAGGTTCTACTCAAGTGGTACTTGACCTTCTACTACTATTTGGTGACCAAATTCAAAATGCCTCGTGGGGGTGGATGAGGCGAGCAGCTTGAAGAAAAACATTGCCATCCAGTGGTGAGTAAGGTTGACTACAGTACACAATTCTGCATGGGCCGTTCAAGTTCGATTAGCTCCTGCTACAGTTGTCACAATAGTTTGTCATAATTAATTAGTACACCCTCATGCACTTCTACACAACTCAAAACTACGATCACAAAATTAAATACTGCTAAATAAGACCGAACAACCATTATGCACATTATCGAGACATCCTTACAGGATCCTTTTGGAATTTAAAGTGTTTAGCAATTAAAGTGTAGTTGATGACGTTACTATGTAACTTATGCTTATCGTGCATTTTGGGGGTAGTCTTGTTGAATTTCGTGAACATGTTCTGAGGAGTTCGTTTACATTTTTAATGTTACAAAAAGGAACATAATAGTTGCTGAGTTTGAAATCCGTGGGCCTGAGTTAGCCTAACGACGTAGCCCCGGGACAGGAAAAAGACGCACTCTGTCCCGGAAGGTTTCCTGGGGTGGAGCTTGTGTGCTTGGAGTTTTTGTTCACTCAACAGACTTGTGAAACAAAAGGGCCAAGTAGGGGACAAAAAAAAAAAAAAAAAACTAAACCGGAAACATTTCGAATTCGTGTGTACATTTCAATCTTTTGTCTGGACTGCAGTCATAAAGAACAGGTGAGTGAACGCGAATCTTAATCGTTTTACCTTAAACGGGATATGACTATTCTCGATTCTCAACCTTTGCAGAGATGCCGTCCTTTCGCCCTCTAAGGACACATATAATGTCTGTAACAATTTATAGTTAACATACTTATATTTGCCCCGCAGGCGATGTATACTTGAAAAATGAACATATATTGTTTAGCTCTAAATACCGTAACACCACTGGCACTAGCTCGGTGATGTGCGCCTGTTAGGGTTTTAGCTAAGATTTCTTGTCGTTTATAGTTTAAAACCAAACTGCAGTCAATATTCATTCGAAAGACAAAATAATGACACAAAATAATGTCATATCAAACTATTTTAAAGTCTAGAGGAGACGTCAGGACTGTACCATTCAACAAGTGGGACGTTCAGGTGAGGCTCAAACCATATTAAATGTGAGTTGAAATAAATCAATGTTAACAACCTAGTAAGTAATCTTCAGAACAGGGAATAACCCAGATACTCCCCGAGGACTATATTGGGTAGAAATAAGAGCAATTTCTACGATACACACATCTCCGGTCATCACACAATGTCAATGAGGATACAAGACATGGATGAAAACATTGTGCATTTATAAAGGAGTGGATGTTCAATAGGATGCAGTGCAGTTCTACACCACTGCAAATTCAAAACACACCAATAAACATTTTTAGATTAATACCTATATGACAGTGTTTTCTATGTGACAGTGTTTTATCAAAATTTTGAGCATTATCTTTGCTTAGTTTGAGGTACTGTACTTATCGAATCAAAGACTGTATTGTTCATGTGCACTTCATTCTGTATGCTGAACTAATACTCGAAAACATGAAATTGATGGCCAAGTAATGACTTTTGATTGTATGTTGTCATGTGGGATCAACCTAGTTTTTTTTTCAAACCAAAAGTGTGTGGGGTCCGTTGACAGGAAATATTCATTAAGATTGATACAAGGATGTCAGGTGGACAAAATGTAACTGACCAACAAGAACCATAATTTATGTACTGAGTGTGTATAAAATTCAAAGCGGTGACAAGACTCTTTTCAACTGGTTTCTTATTTTAGACATAGGGCGATGTTTTTGTCAGGGCTGACAGTGATTATTAGCAGTCAAGAGACTGATAACCGATATTTGGAGCCAATGTCAGTTTTCAGTAAAATATTACAGCACGTAATTTTTAATAATACAAACCCCATCACTTAACTTTGTCTGTATATTTTTAAGCATGTTTATCAAACAACTTTTTTTTTCCTTTTTATCTGGGGCAATAGCCATCTTTGTTTTGAAATTCTAACAAAAAGTACAGGGATATCCTAGATCCTTTAAAAAAAAATCAGACTTTTAAAACATGAATACTGCGAGTATTTGGGTTCTAAAGGGGTTATTGACTGCATGTAAACCTAGACATTGTTAGTACAGTATTAGAGTTTAAGATTTGCAATACAAATCGCCTGCTTTTTTTTCCCACGATACTTGAGTGATTTTACAGGACCGGTGAGAAACAAACAAAATACATTGCCTTCTTTACCCAACTGTATTGTCTTTGAAGTAATTGCAAACCCCCCCCCCCAAAAAAAATCAATAAAGAAAACATTAGCGCTTGTTTGAATTTAATTTCCAGGTGCATGCAAAGAGTGTCGACCATCTGCCAACAGATGGTCGACAGATTCACTAATGTGCTCTCTGTGAATTGATAAGCACCATTTGTAGGAAGAGGGAGGGGAAGAGAGACGATAAGAGGCAACAAGGCAAGTCTGGGCTTGACGAGCAAATCAGCAAATAGGTGCAGTGAGGTTAAAAATGGTGTTAGCCAACAGGGTTCTTCCGTAATGGGCTTCACCATTCAGGTCCTGCCGTTCCAAAGGCCTCCTGTATTTTACGTTTTGGCAATGTCATAGAGTCATGACACTCTCAAGACATGAATTGTGAGATGGTATGATTCAAACTAAGGTGGTAAACGAACGCCATGGAAAAGCCCCATGACCTTGTACCGAATGCTTACTCATGAATCTCTGTGTACACATAGAATAAAGCAATCAGTATAACTGAGTCACGACAGATCTGCTATTCCTCCATGCAAACTGCAGCAGCTGTGCAACCGCTCATTATGCTAAGTGTACTTGCAATCTCTTTTGTTCCCTTTTTTCAAACAATATTATATTGAAAAAGTTATCATCTATTTTCAGACTCTATGCATGCTGTGCTGTATATAAAATGTAAATGGCAATGAAATTCCAGTAGTGTTGTTCGTCGTTCGCTGCCACAGCGAGCATTCCAAATGTTTTTATTCACGAAAGAAACCTCAAATGCTTGACATCCTCATTTATTGTGTGTTTTGTTTATTGTTCAGCATGGGTGCGCGTGAAGAGAAGAAAGAAACATGTGGAACCATCTGCCTGAAATACCTTCTGATCACATTCAATGTCCTCTTTTGGGTAAGTCTCCATGCAATAAGAGTTATACAGTATTTCCATACATTTCTGCACAGATACATTCTTCGAGTTTAAACACCCAACTTTTATAGTCCAATCGTTTTATTTTACCCAAGTATTTTACAATTTTGTGGCAAACTTTCCATGTGTTGACCTATGTAATACACATATTAATCATACCTTACTGGAGCCTTTCATAGTGTATTTTAAGAAAATCATTGCCAGTTCCATCTTAGAAAATCAATGCAAACAGCCCATTCGTGTGGCAGGAAAAAAAGAATCATTCAAAGCCAAATTTGAGGTTTTGTTTTCAAGCTTTCATAGGAAACATATCTAGGAATCATATCTGAATTAAAAATGGTGCATCAGTTGGCACGTTATACTTTGTAATACTACTACTACTACTACTACTACTACTTCTACTACTACTAATAATAATGATAATAATACTACTAATAATAATTTGGTCATCTATATCAATATTTGTTACTTTACAGTCTGTGAAAGTGTCTCATTCGGCATGCCAGAACATTCAAAAATATTTATTTCATTTGTTCTCCATGTCATCACAAACGGTGTATAAATTGTTGCTAATGGACAGTAAATGCACCTTAAGGATTGGATCAATTAAAGTTTAACTGTACGTTGTTTATGTGACAAAGTACTGTACAATAACTGTACATTTACTGAAATCTCTTGACAAACGACCAATCAGTGTCAGAGTTACGGCAGTACCTCTTGTCACCACGTAGGGGTGCTGGACACTTAATTTCAAGGCTCTCAATGGTATTTGTGTGTTGCTGTGGTTTGGTTTTATTAAAAAACAAGTAAATCAGAAGAAATAATGACTGAATGGTTAGAATAAGAATAATGTAGATCTCAGGATATGGATCTTTTATTTATTTATTCATTTATTTTAGTAGATCTTAATTTGTGGTTGGACGTTTTTTCAGGACGAGGTTGCGTTGTTGACATCAGTAGCAACCATTTGTGATGGCAATATAAATGTAAAAAACCCCAAACACAATCTGGAAGACAGTCAAGCCAGCCATTGCTCCGCGATATGCTGCCGGGAACAACTTCAGAGTAAAAGCTTCCCAAGTCATTGATGTATACATATCAATTGGTAAGGTAAAGTTTATTTAAACGTTGGCCTTCTCACCGCATTGGCAGTGTTGCTGCTGTTAACTTGACTTGTTCTTCCTGACAGTGTACACATGAATAAAGGGTTACTTGAAGTAAATTAAATACTAAGAGTATCTATCTATCGATCTATCGATCTATCGATCTATTGATCTATCGATCTATCTATCTGTCTGTTTATTTATTTATTTATTTATTTAAAACATTGGAAAAGGTACCCAAATTACTTGGACTTGTTTCAGCCGTAAAATGAAAATAAATCTTTCACAGTGGCAGTGACTGTCCATCGTTTCAGTCATCATAATTCCACAGCATGAGTGTTGACATGAATCCTGAGTATCTCAGTTCACACTCATTCATTTGTTGACTTTCAGGAGTGTCAGACGCCTCCTCCTCTCGAGATCTGACTCATGTTGTGTTCTTCTCTCAGCTTGCTGGGGGTGTTGTGATGGCTGTGGGTGTTTGGACTTTGGTTGAAAAGAGCGACTACATCAGCCTTCTCCCCTCTATGACATATGCTGCCTCTGCCTACATACTGGTCCTCGCTGGAGCTATTGTCATGGTAACAGGCATTCTGGGATGCTGTGCCACCTTCAAGGAGCAGAGAAGGCTACTGCGAGTGGTAAGAGGCTGCGCACTGTGCACTTGTATTGAACATCCACACGACAACCAAAATGACAGCAGTCTGTATATGAACCACCAAATGGAAAATGGTGTTTAGGACAAGGCAATCATTTGGTATCACTATAAATCGCAAAAAAAACCTTGAGCTATAGCAGTAGAAAGTACACTCAATATAATATCAATTAAAATCTAATCAGGACTCCTACCCTGGCATTCTGCGTGCTTAAGGCAAGGGACATTAGATTTGCGCCACAATTACAAGCACCTAAGAGGAAATTTGGGGCACAAAAGTGTATAAGTGGCAAATAAGTGTGCGCTTGCATGTGCGAGCGTGTCTGTGGCATATGTTCGCTAGAGGTTGACAGGAGTCCCACGGGATTCTCACTGGATGGGTGTGAACTTTATCTTTCATCACAGGATTGGGGACGGTATGGGACAAAAAGTTCACAGAAGCAGGATTACCCAGTAGAAAAAAAAGCTTGGACAGATGCGCAGCCATTTTTAATGTAGCTGACCTCTAAAATGGGAGTGATACGGGAATGGGAGTCATTCTGAACGGGAGCAGGATGGGAGTAGCAGTTGTTGCTTACCAAGGAGGCTGAGGAGGGTGATCCCTCTGTAGTTGAAATACACCCTCTGGTCCCCCTTCTTAAAAAGAGGGATCACCACCCCAGTCTGCCAATCACGAGGCACTCTCCCTGATGATCACGCTATGTTGCAGAGGCGTGTCAACCAGGACAGCCTCACAACATCCAAAGCCTTGAGGAACTTCTGGTGGATCTCATCCACCTCCAGGGCTTTGCCACCGAGGAGCTTTTTAACCACCTCTGTGACTTCAACCCCAGAGATAGGAGAGCCCACCTCAGAGTCCCCAGACTCTGCTTCCTCTAAGGAAGGCAGGCGTGTTGGTGGAGTTGAGGAGGTCTTCGGAAGTATTTTGCCCACTGACTCACAACGTCCCGAGTCGAGGTCAGCAGTGCCCCATCCCCACTATACACAGTGTTAATGGTGCACTGCTACCCCCTCCTGAAACGTCGGATGGTGTACCAGAATTTCGTCGAAGCCGATCGGAAGTCAGATTCCATGGCCTCATCGAACTCTTCCACGCTTTTGCCTCGGCGACCCCGGAAGCTGCGTTCCGCTTGGCCAGCCGATACCCATTAGCTGCCTCTTGAGTCCCACAAGCCGTAAAGGCCCGATAGGACTCCTCCTTCAGCTTGATGGCATCCCTTACTGCCGGTGTACATCAGTGAGTTTGGGGGTTGCTGCCACGACAGGCACCGACCACCTTACGGCCACAACTCCGCTCAGCCGCCTCAAAATAGAGGCATGGAACATGGTCCACTTGGACTCAATGTCCCCCGCCTTCACAGAACGTAGGAAAAGCTCTTCCAGAGGTGGCAGTTGAAACTCCTTCTGAATAGGGGATTCTGCCAGACGCTCCCAAAAAACCCTCACAATACGTTTGGGTCTGCCAGGTCGGTCCGACATCTTCTCCCACCATCGGAGCCAACTCACCACCACGTGGTGATCGATTGACAGCTCTGCCCCTCTCTTCACCAGACTCCTTCCCTGCAAGAGAGGTGACATTCTTTGTCCCTCGCGCGAGCTTCTGTAGCCAGGGATCGGGCCACCATTGTCCCCACTGCCCAGCTCACTTTGCACTCAACCCCTTTGGCCCCTCCCATAGGTGGTGAGCCCATTGGAAGGGGGGATCCACCTTGACTCTTGGAGCTGAGCCCAGTCGGGCCCCATGAGTGTAGGCCGGGCCACCAGACGCTCGCTCACGAGACCCACCTCCAGGCCCAGAGGACTGACACACGTGTGGGCCAGGGAAAATGCCATCCAATGTTTTCATCCATTATAAGGGGTCTATGAGGTGTGCTTCGTCTGATCCCTTACCTCAGATCTGTTTGCCAGGGGTGACCCTGCCAAGGGCATAAAGCCCCAGACAACTTAGCTCCTTGGAACACTGGGACACACAAACCCCTCCACCACGGTAAGGTGATGGCTCATGGAGGGGAATATTTGTCCCCCCAAAAAAAGAAAAAACAAAAGCGTGTCCATCATTTTGAAAATAAAATATCTTGTCTTAGTAGTGAATTGTATTGTTGACATCAGACCAATAAAGGTGATGGAATTTTTCCTAACATCGGTCTGATACTTGTCTTTCTGATGCTTTTCATGCATCCCTTAAGTGTATTGTGCTTTGACACTAAATTGATTTTTTTTCCCATACATTTGGATTCCTTGCCAAGTAAGCTTGATTAAAGTGAGATTTTATGTGCGCTTCAGAAACTTTGTATTTTTTCAAGTGTTTAGTCTTTATCATCAACTTTGCTGAGCAGACCACAGTGTTAATATCTGTCATGACCAAATAGATTGACTATGAACACAATACTTTTTGCATGTTGCCTTGCCAAGGGACCTATGTGTCTCACACGAAATGATTTTGTTGTTGTTGTTTTTGTTTTTTAAATGGTTTTGCACAATTTAAAATTGATGTCTAAGTGATATACTAATTCCGCATTATCTCTGGCCTTATGCTTTTTTTAAACCAGCCAAAACAAACAGGGAATCCCTGTTGGCTGACAAATTTAAATGGCTACCTGAAATGGAATTTGGGTTAGAGGAAAACATCACTAAAGGGACTTTGTTGTGTAAACAGTAGAATAAGTCCCCTAAACTGTTCTGATGATGTGATTTCTAACAACTGTTGGGTTGTGTCAGTGGTTATCTTGTGTATTTTCAAATGCCCCTAGCTTCCTGAAGACCAAAGATTAGGCCGATGAATCACAGTGACGGAATGAACTTGTTGCCAAGGAGAGATGCTGTCGAGATCGTTAAAGAGGGCAAAAAAAAAAAAAAGGCAGGAAATAGGCTGATTCATGAGGCTCCTTCCTGTGTTTGCTGGGGGTATGCACTCTGCCTTACCTCGGACTATATGAGCAGCAGCAGCCATTGTTAATATGCGCTTCTGTTATCAACATGTCACAGGTTTGAAACGTAGCAAGCTGACTCTTGTCACTTTACTGCTGTGAGGCTTTGAAAAGATATAGTTTCTTTCAAATGAAAGAGGAAGAACAAAAGCTAATTTATCCCCTTGACCCACAGAAAGAAGGATGTGCTATGTGTCAGCAGATTCACAAATCATTCAGTGTAATCATTAGGGGAGAGGAGGAACGATTGTTGTCTACATTTGCTTCTTGCAAAGCCTGCCAACTCTTGTTAGAGCGCTGTTATTAATTTGAGGTTACTCAATAGGTACCATATATCATAATTAGTTGTCTTGATTGTTCAGGCTGTTTTCCTACAGCTCTCCTGGGGGAAGGAAGCAATACCTCATCTGTAAGGACTTTTGGAAACTCAGCTGGCAAAACATTGCAACGATATGTTGGTGAGATGCTAAACTGGATGCTGACTGCATCATGACGCCTCTCGGTTGTGTGGTCTGCTTCTGCGTGTGCAGTGTGTAACATTTTTTTGTCATATAGCAGAGTATACATTGAATTTCCTCAAGTTATTATCATCACTTTCATATATTTAAAAAAGCGAGGCCTTAGGTTGACAGAGGTGCATGCTGAAGAAAAGGTGAACGGGAGCTTAGATTCATAGTTCACAATTCATTATTGTCAGGTTGCTCAGTTTACAGCCCTATTTGTGCTGCAGACTGATAAGTCTTTCATGACTTGTTTTTGAAGATGACGCTCAGAAGACTGACATATTTTATACGTATCACATTTCTCTCAAAAAGTCACGTGCCATGAAGCAATACAGGTAGGTGTGTGCATCACATATTGCCTCTCAGTGGAAGCATGTGGTGAGCATGCTGCCTCTCCAGATTAGGCTCAAAAGGTGAAAACATCCATTCAGTTTCTATTCTACTTGTTTTCATTAGGGGAATGGATCAATGAGAACCTATGATGTGCGACGTTCATGTGCTGTGGGGTCTTCTTTTCAACCTGCGGGATTTGCATGCCAAACAATAATTGTATGTTTTCCTCCGTCAATTCACCAAGGCATTTGAAGTGTGGTGAAACAGCTTTAATCAATGCTTTAAAAAAAAAGTAGACAAAACAAACCTAATGTCCAGATGTATCTGCTTCAGCCTCAGGAAAAGTCAGACCCACAAGGTAAGGAAGTTGAAATGCAGTCCTGTGAATCAGCCTGCTGAGTCATGTTGGCAGTAATTACACTGTAACCTTAAAATGCCTGCAAGATGATCATGACCAGTTCTCTGGAGTAGGACGCCTCTGCAGCCAACAAATTCTCTTACTCACTCGGTTGCATTTGTTGAGCTTGTTCTACAGTCTATGAGCAGTGTTTCATTTTAATTTTTTTTCATGCTGCGCTTATTATTCCACACACACCCATGCTCATTATGCACACGCATACATTCGCGCGCGCACACACACACACACACACACACACACACACACACACACACACACACACAGACACTTATTCCCTGAATATGCATTGCTAGATTACGTATCATTTTTTTTTTTTTTTATCTGTTTCCAGTATTTTGTCCTGCTGCTGTTCATTTTCCTGTTGGAAATCCTGGCTGGTGTCCTGGCTTATATCTACTATCGACAGGTAATTGAAAACTGTAAAATCTCGTTTCATTATTTGACAATACACCATTATTGTTTTCATCCTTTGGGCTTTGCAGTCGGGCTGTCACTAACAAATCTTGTTAGAATCGTTTACCCTATTGATTAGTATTTTTACTTTGACTTAATTTATTATTATTATTATTTTACTTTTTAGGCCTATTTTGCAGTAATTCCTCATATTTGATTAAAAATTTACATGTTGAAACAAATTATGTTGTCATGTTCATATGGCGATTTAGGCCAGATAAACACATAAAGGCGATTGGGCTCTTTTTACCCCAATTTGTCCAAAACTAGTCAGGCCCAACAATCTTAAATAATGAATGTGTTCAATATTTCTGACCAAAAATCGTCATGTGTGTGAGGGAAGCCGAGTTTTCCTGAGCTAGCTGATTCCGCAGACTGTGATGTGACAGAATGTAGCCAATCATTTTCTGAACTGCATACCACCCCACTGCCCACTCGGGTCATGGCAGTGCTGGAGGCTATCGTAGCTGTCTTCAGGCACTAGGCGGCCTAACCGATGTTGTTTTTTTGTAAAAGCGGGTTCCCCAGGCAGCAGGAAGTATTTTCAAAAGGAAGTAATTTTTTCCAACATTGTAACAACATTAGCATGTACCCAGAAGAGCTCATGTTTCCAGTCCTCGTAACAACAACTTAGTTGAGGCCAGACATCGTGCTTACATCAGTATCTTCAAGGCAGGTGCTATTGATAGAATTGACAGTTCCTTGCGAGGATTGAATGGAGGAGGCGAATGAGCGGAAGCGGTCAAAGTACCAGGAGCTAGTTGAGCGATGGCAAAGAGGAGGCTGGAAGGCACGCTTGTGAGCCCACTGAAGTGTGCAAGGTGCTCACTCGGCAACGCAGATGAAGAGAAAAGGAAGGCCATCAAGGCCACCATGGAGTCATCAGAGAAATCCTCGAAATGGCTCTGGGTCAGGAGGATCAGTGGGACAATGCTACTGGTACACAAGCTGGGGTCTGATCTACCCTGGTTGGGCCACCTGAGGGAGGGGTTATGATGTTGGAAGACCTGGAAACCCAGAAGATCTCAGGCACATCACTGATGACGTGTCCCAGTGCATCGTAGGATATATCTCACACCAAGACTGAGAGAAGCCAAAATCGAAATCCTGATTGCATTTCTATTTATTGTCCACCCCGAGTACTTGGCCTTAGTTAAGCACTGTTTGCTTGCGCAACAGTTCCCCATGTAATCTTGACATGCAGTCAGTAGTGCTGTCAGCGGAGCGGCTGCTGTATTATTTTAAAACGAGTCCATTGCGGGAAGGAAATGCCAGCCTTTTAAAAGACATAATTCAATTTTTTAAAAAATGCATTAAATTGATGATACTGAAAAGGTAATTGTGTTGAAATTGTATTCACTGCTCCTTAAAAACAAACTAAAAAAAACAAAAAAGACTTACCGTATTTTTCGGATTATACGTCTCTCCGGATTATAAATCGCACCAGCCAAAAAATGCATAATTAAGAAGGAAAAAACCTATATAAGTCACACTGGAGTATAAGTCGCATTTTTGGGGGAAATTTATTTGATAAAATCCAACACCAAAAACATACATGTCATCTTGAAAGGCAATTTAAAATAAAAATAAAATCAGAGAACAACAGGCTCAATAAATGTACGGTATACTAACGTTACATGACTGACATGCCTGGTAATGTCAGTAACGACGTAACATATTAAGAGTTATTCGGATAACTCTAGCATAAAGAACATGCTAATAAGTTTACCAAACTATCAGTTTCACTCCAAATCACTAAATCCAATGAAATTTTCATCCTCGGTGTCACTTTTAAACAACTCCCCCAACTCGGGAGGTAGACGATGCGCCGCTTCCTCTTCTACGTCGCTTCCGTCAAACTCATCGTCGATTTATCAACACAGGCTGAGAGCGCCCTCCTGTGGTTTAATGTGAAAATAACATGTGAAATGACATAATCATGTGTTAATAATTTCACACATAAGTCGCTCCAGAGTATAAGTCGCACCCCCGGCCAAACTATGAAAAAAACTGTGATTTATAGTCCGGTAGTACTGGAAGATTCAGTACTACTTCTCCCACTGGATGTTGAACAAACTGCTGTGCTTATTTGCTGTATTAAATGTGAAACAGAAGTAAAGCTGACAGCTTTTGTCAGCACAGTTTGACATCAGACTTCCTGGACATTTTTTTCCCCATTGCATTCATGTTGCATTAAGTTGCACAATATTATTTTCCACCGGTATCACAGCGTGACGTGTCTCAAGGCCTCACTGTTTTTGTCGGTCCAAAAGTGTGCTGCTCATTCTAAATTCCTTGTTTACAATACACACATTGGCTGCACACAATCAATCACTGAACTCTGCCAAGAGCGCCGTCTTCTTTATTCACCTTTTATGACTCTGACACGAACAAAGTCAATTCTCATCTATGAAAACTAGTGAGGGCGGTAAAACATCTAAATCACTCACAGAAGTCTGTAAGGCTCATTTGGCAAGCTACAGAGGATTGTTGAGTCATATTGCCGTCCTCTTTTCTGCTCATTTTATTTTTATGAGTGTTTGTAGAAAATAACAAAGGAGGATTTTATTGAATAAAAAGGGGAATATAATTAACCATCACAGCAACAAAAGTAGTGGTGCATGAGTTAAACTCACAATATTACCTTCCAAAAACATAGCTTAGCTTTCCGTCAGTACAATGTACAGTATTCTGAAACTAAATAACTTTGAGTACCTACTAAAATTACTATTCATGTTTTTGGCTCTTTTTCAATTCAATTGTAAATGAGGTCTGGTCTTCGATGCTGCTTGAAGAAGAAGCTTTGTCCTGTTCGTTATTGGGCTTTCTACAGACACGTAATGTCTTTTAGCGCTTCATCATATTGGAAGTATTGCCGCTTTGCATAAACCACACATGCCTGCACAAAGGCATTGTTTTACTCACCACCATCCATCATTGTCGAAGGTAATAGTACTGCAGTCGTAGCGATCCTATACAGGAGAGAGAAACAACGTGGGTGCATGTGGGTGACATTTCTAACTTTATTTCTCTTCTCTTTTGCAACTGATAGCTGCACTCAGCACTTGATCTTATACTGGTGAAGATGCTTTCAATTCTTTACCTCTCACTTAGAACAAAGTCTGAAAACAAACAAACAAATACAAGGTCAAATACGTGCCTCTAGAGCATTCATCAGAAATGAAGTGATTCGTGCACATGTTGAGACATCTTTGACAAAAGAAAATCTGTATATGATGCACAAGCAGAAGCAATTTCTTGCTCTATGTTGCAGTACACGACATACAACACCAGAGGTCAGCACCTACTATTGGAACAAACGATATGCGAATGACGGCACCTGGCACATGCTGGAGGAAAAGTTATTTGGGATTATTCGGGTGATGCCATCGAGCAAGGACAAGGTTGATTTCTAGAGGGGGCCCATGTAAAACCTTCGGTAATGCCTTGAAGTCCTCTTTACTTTTAGATTGAATAGTGGGCCACAGGTGTTCGGAGAGGCTTGTGTAATCTCATCAGTTTTCTTCAATGTCCTCCTTTCACTCGTTGACGCATTGTTACGAAGGTAATCAATGTCTGGTCAGTTGCTCTGAGAAAGAGAAAGGGAGAGAGAAAAATAGAGAGAGAGAGAGAGAGAGAGAGAGAGAGAGAGAGAGAGAGAGAGAGAGAGAGAGAAAGACAAAGACCTTTATAAGTCAGGAGGATAAATGTTTTAAAGAACTTGTTCCCCTGGACTTTGCAAAAGGCACACTTCCTGTGTTATTTTGTCCATTGTGAATAAGAACTAAATCAAGTCATTGTTAATATTGTGGCAGCCTCCAAAAAAAAAAAAAGTGTGTTTCAATGACCTGCTTGCTGCACTGTAGGGGAAATAGCGCAAATAAATGTGAGTGTGCCACTTTTTATCTGCTCCTTCTTTCAGTTTTGCTATTTATTATTGGACAAGTCCAATAAACTTGAATTACGCGCTGGTAAAATGCCAACACGACAGAGATAACCAATCACGGCAAGTCAAATGAGGTGTGTCGACTCTTTAATTGTTATTTATACTTCACTTCCTCAAGCGTGAACAGGTGCTGAACCGTAAGCCCCTTCCTTTTTGCTGCTCTCTCTCCCCTCCCTCTAATCTCACTGTCCTCTATATTTCCTCCCCTCATTCATTGCCTTGATATTGCTGTCATGCTTTGATTTACAGTGGTTTCCCCACTGGCTTGTTGCCATAGAAACTGAGTCCCTCCAGACTTCCCTGCTCTGCCACTGAGCATTCTTGAGAACAAAACATACATACTGCCCCCCCCCACACACACACGCACACACACACCGTTACTACATCTCCATGTATTAGATCCTTTGTCCACAACGTGTATCACGAAGACAGCATATTAATCTCATCTGCGCCAAAATTAAAAGTTGCAACTCATTTATTACCAGCTGTGGTCTGTGCTGGACTTTGATGAATCGTGTGGCTCAATTGTGAGTTGTGTGTACATTTATCTGTGTCTGTGGCCAGTTAAATGAGGAGCTGAAACAGAACCTGAGGGAGACCATGATCCAGAAGTATGAACAGACGACTCATGAGCACGTTACCAGTGCTGTGGATAAACTGCAACAAGAGGTAACTATTTGCCTACCGGGGCCCTGAGCGCGAGCACAAACTTTAAGATCATTTTACAACCGGGGCTGGGTATAAAAATATCAATTAGTCAAATCAAATTGATTTTCCTTTTCACATCCATTCATAAAACCATAAATCGATCCTTTTTTCCATGAAATCATTTGGTTTCTCGCATCATGCGAGAGTAGCATATCAAAACAGCACGGCAGAAGTACTGAAATCAGCGGCAACAGGCTTGAAGGCGGGTGTCTAGAAGTTTTGCGGGTCCTCACAAATACAAAGTGTGTTTTGGCCACTCTATTTACATAGCCTGCCCTGTGGTTGGAATTGATTTAAATGATTATTTATTGTTTTGATTGCCCTGCGATTGGCTGGTGACTGGTTCATGGTGTCCCCCACCTACTGCCCGCTGGGATAGGCGCCAGCACCCCCCGCGACCCTTGTGAGGATGAACTGGTTCGGAAAATGAATGAATGAATGTTTTGATCAAGTCATGTTCAATGAAACATGCATGATTAATGGAACTGCACTGGGTTCAATTCCTAAGATCAATACTCTTATTTTTTCTAATGCACCAAGTCAGAGCGAGAAGTTTCTACTATTTGCAGCTTTGCTTTTTTTGAGAATGTCTTCCGTATGAAAGTTAAATTGGTACTGTGTAAAATCCTTCACCGAATTGCAAATCAATCGACCTGAATTGTGAATTGTAAAATGAATTGAATCGGGCCTTTGTGAATCGAATCAAATCGATTTTGGTAATCTGAATCGTTACCCTGCCCTATTTTACACTACAGTCGCAAGAAAAATCAACCTTTTGGTTTAATTACCGGTATTGTACTTGGATTTATGCGTAAATTGGTGATAAAATATGAACCGAACTGGCATAAAAATGAAAAATAGTACTTTAGAATGTCTTCTTTGATTTCTTAGAATCAATCATTACCATTTGAGTGATGACAACCAATAATACGAAACCGTATTTTTCCCACTCGCTCACTTGTCATGTGACGCGGTTATTTATGCATTTTTACTGCCGAGCCTCAACCCGCCAATAGAGCTACCCATCGTCCCATCGCATTGGTAAATGACGACATCGCCCGTTTGTGTTTTTTATTGCTACATTTAGCTGTTGCGGCTTGTAATTACCGTGAGCGGTAATTTTTCTGTCTGGAAATTACAGTACTTTTTTCTGTAAAATGTATTGAATTTTTCAAAGGAAATTCAGGGGTGCATGTCTTTCCCGTTCGTAATCAAACTATATGAAAATACCCCATATACAATGAATGGATGGATGCATTCGATTATTGGATCAGTGGCCATGGAGTTTAGTTTTGAGAGAAAATGGTCATATATCATTTGAAGATTTGGATTGTAGCAGCTCATTTTTTTCGGCGGGTTTTGGAACATAATTGCTATCAGAAGTCAAGGGGTTTTTCTTCCCCCTTCATTTTCTCTCCTAATATGCGATTATGTATTCTGTGTCCGTCTCCCCATCAGTTCAAGTGCTGTGGGAGCAACAATTCATCCGACTGGGCGAAGAGTGTCTGGATCCGCTCCAGCGACGGAAATGGCCGGGTGGTTCCCGACAGCTGCTGTAAGACTCCATCTGAGCTGTGTGGACGTGGGGGGCACCCCTCCAACATCTACAAGGTTGAGGTGAGTCTGCGCCAGGTGCTGGTGTTCACAGTGCCATTAATAAGCAAATAATCGTAAACATAACATGCGTTTGCACTCGCACTTCACTGGTTACAGCATGAGGACTTTTTCGTTTGCCATGTAGGGTGGCTGTATCTCAAAACTGGAGAAATTTATCCAGGACCACCTCAAGATCATCGGAGCGGTGGGTGTTGGAATTGCATGTGTACAGGTAAGCAAAAGCGTCACTTTTTCAAACACAAAATGAATGACATGTATTTATCCCTTTATTTATTTATTTATTTCCATCTCCGCGCATCGTTCAGATAATAGGGATGGTGTTTACGTGCTGCCTGTACTGCCGTCTCAAGTCGGAGCCATACTAAAGAAGCAGAGGAGACGGAGGAAGTCACCTCATTGACATACTCAAATATCTCATCGCTTCTTTTCTTGTGGAGGGAGGTGAGGGATTAAATGATGCATCTGAGTTTGTCATAGCGGTCGGGTGGAAAAATAATTAAGGTTACAAGAAGTAATTAGACATTCAAATTCGAGTCTCAAAATTACAGCACTAAGAAAAACGTTGTAAGAGACAAAAAAAAACCCCAAAAACTGGTGGGATTATTGCCTCTGAATATTTAATTTGGTGAGGGATACCCTGTGTGGAAATTCAAGGTACGATACAATGATGTGAATGTTTTATAATGTTAGTGTGGTGGCTGGATTTGCCCGTTGAGAGAATTTCTTTTTGCCAGCAGCACCAGCTCCACGTTTTAACAAGCCCAATTGTCCAGTTGGAGCATCCCGTTTCCATGTTAACTGACCACTCATGCATTTGAAACATGTTTTCCATGGTGACCTTTTCCTTTGTCAATACTAAGTTGTATCACTGTTTTTGACTTTGTAAATGTCTATTTTCTGGAGCACTCTTACCAGTGAGCTGCGACTGTAATTGAGCCCTTATTGGCCAATGTGTCTTCACATAGCAATGTGCCACGGTTAGACCAGCCTCTTACCCCCACAGCGTGTTGGCAAAGACACTTTAACTGCCAGACTGACGGTACACTGACTGCACCTTCCTCACCAGCATAACTGCACCATCATTGTAATAACACAATAGTGCCAGCATTTTAACACTTTGTGTCTAGTCTAATGTGCAAGGCTGATGCGAAACAATGAGTATTGCCTTCCAACATTACTGTTTTTTTTTTTTTGGTTTTTGATTTTTTTGCTTTTTTTTTTGTCTCTTTTTTTTTTTTTTTTTGTCTACCACTGATACCAAAAATAGACACTGACTGACCTCTGTGCGCATCTACTGTGGCTTTGCCAAGCACCCTGACAAATCAATGATGTATGCAGATTGTCTTTTTAAGATTGATTTTTAGATATGATCAATATTATGTTTTTATACTATTCAGAATCCAGTTTTGACATTCTTTTGCATCAATAACCTTGTTCCTCAAAAACGTCTGATCACAAATATGTCGTCTGCCTTAGCCAAGAATACATATCCATTTCATAAATATCCATCTGTTTCTTCTGTTTTTGTTGTCGTTGTTGTTTTTCCCCAAGTCGGAAGCTAGTAGCAGTTTATCCGGACAGAAGGGTCAATATCCTCCATCTAAAAAAAACAAGACAAAACCAAAATATGTCAATAATGTGCAGTGTAACGGTGACTTTTAAGTGTCCTTCACCTGTCAGTGGCAAAGTCAGGCCACTCCCTTAACAAAACAAACTCGAAAATGTCTTTAGACCAGCTTGCCTGGAAGCAGTGGCCCCTACATGATTGTCACAGGCTTACAGGTACATTAGTGTATTAAACAATTCCCTAATGTCACTGTTCCGCGGGTCTGTCGGTTCATATTGTGAGTCATTTCCATGAAGGCTGCTGCCCCACCGCAATACCTATATTCCATGGCGACCAGTACTATGGCTTTATGTTCGTATTGTGTTGTTGCGATCTCTTGTCATGCTAACAATGTTACTGCGGCTGCAGCAGTGCTTGGGTGCAAACACAGGGAGGCGGCAGCCTCCACACTTCCATCAACTCAACAGCTGGTGAGTGTGTGTTAAAAATGCCCAGCGGCTATTCAGGATTACCTCCCTTCCAATAGTTCCATTTCCTAGTAGAAGCAGGAAAGAAAATGGACCCTTACACATTCAAAATGATGTGAAAAGGGGCACATTCATTTTTGTGTGAAGAATTTGTTTGTCTGAAATTCAGCTTGTCTGAGTGCTTTATTACTCCCCTGTCGGAAATCAAATTACACCCTGTGCCTACAGTGGAAAAATTGGTTTCAACTGTGAAGTTTGAAAACTAAAACAATGAAAATCTCAGTTGCTATGCAAATTTCTCTCCGCAACAGTGGGGGAACACAACACACACAGCAAAATCCCAATTGTCCTTGCAGTTGACAAAATGAGCAGGTGTGTTTGTATTTCATGGCGGGAGGTCGCAGTTAATGTGCTCATCGTAGTGAATGTACTACCACGCATGGCAATTTTATCAGAGCCCATCCAACAAGAAGACATCCGTGGCACACAGGTTATCTGCCCTCCCTTTGACTTCATTTATCGTCTAATCGTGATGACTTCGAAGCAACGTCGGAAGCCTTTGAACAACAAGTGTTCCCCAAGTAATGCTCCATGCTGATGAAAGCCATTGATCTCCCCTGTCTTCCTCACTGGGCAGGCGTGCAGGACGCTGTCTGTTTACAGGCTGTCTTCTTTTCTGTGACAGCTAACACACTAGCTAACACAAGTGCTATGTTAATAATGCCGGCCTATGACGTTTCTAAAGTATCTTTCCAGTGCTGCCCATGCAGTTGTCTGTTGGCTGCACGTCATCTCCGGTATAAGAGGTATGCTATTTTCAGACAGGAGAGCCTTTTGCACCCTTTGCCTCCCCTTCGCTCTTTATTTTCCTGGAAGCTGATTAGATTTCTGCATGCCTGCACGACAAATAGCCAGCAGGAATCTTTGTGCGTCTCTCTTTGTGTATCGCTGGTGACAGGCGAAGCGAAGTCTAGATATTTGTTCCTCATCTGACCTATTGTCAAGGATAACACAACATACCTTCGCCTTTGATGTTGACATGAGGTTGAGTTTTAAAAACCTGACTCTGAGATCATGGACATTGGGTCTGATCGACTTCAGAGCAGTGCCATTTCCATTTATTGCGAGGCAGAACATTTGTTAAATACAAGAGTGTCTTGAAAACAAAAGTTTAGACCTTATTTGTAGATAAATTCTCTCATCCTATTAGAAGTCATGTTTATAAAATAACTTGGTTGATCGATGAATTGACCGTGAATTCCCTTTCCACAACCTGATATCTCATTGGGATACATTCTGGTCGTCTGTGATCATGAAAATGTAATCAATCTACTCAGCTAAACATTTTGGGTGCTTCCAACTCTGTGGCTTGTTTACATTCTGTGCACATTGCAAGGTCAAAAAGATCCAGGACCTCAAGCCTATCAACAGTAATGCAACATTAATGACCTCTGACCTCACATTGTGAACAATTCCTATAAATAAACTGCAACGTCTTGTGGAAAGTTGAGTTGTTATAACTATACACTTGCAATGGGGAGGCTACCGAGGTGGCCTGGGAGCACTTTGAAATTCCACTTTGGAAGAGCTGGACAAAGTGGCTGAAGTGATTGAACCTAAGTTAGCCGAGGACAATGGATGGATGAATGGACGGATGCATACAAGAGAATATCCACTGTCAGACGTTGATTTTGGTACATTTGTAATTCGGCTTTAGTATTGACATACCGTATTGGGCCGAATATAAGACGGCCCTGATTATAAGACGACCCCCTCTTTTTCAAGACTCAAGTTTGAAAAAAGACTTTTTGAACACCAAATTAATATTTATACAGAAAATAATGACAGTACATCTGAAAAAAATGATTATAACAATATATTTGAGAGAGAAAGCATGTTATTTTGCCTCATTCAAATCTTAATATCTGAACATTTAAATATGTAAACTAAAGTGCAATCACATTCGTAAATGTGTCATCATTCGGTTTGGGACCAACAGGTGGCACTGTAGGGCTCTCCCTGCAGCTGCACACCTGTTGGTCATTAGGTAATTAGTGGCTTTCAAAGGACTCCCAGCCCGAGCAATCATTGTCGGTAGTGATGGGAAAATGAAGCCTCATGAAGCAATGAGGCTTTACATCCAATTGGTTCGTTCCTGGGCCGAAGCATCATGAGGCTTTATTTGTGCTACTGCGCCATCATGTGGAAAATAAATGTCATGACAGACAGTGATTAAAATGATACCATGGATTTGATGTAGAGGTAAGATCGGGCCAAAAAAATCCAGCCCGACCCGGCCTGCTGGTATTTAAGCCCAACCCGGCCCGAGCCCGACCAATTATCTTGATTTGCAGGCCCGAGCCCGAAGCAAACCCGACATTTCCTATTTCATTTGTGATGACTCGGCAGGAGGAGGGGTGATTTGTGGTAACAAATTAAAGCCTGTCTTTTGTCACGAAATCTAAGTTAAACAAGTCTGTATAATTATTTACATCTTTTAAACATGTATTTCTGTTTCTGCAGAGGGGACATTAACCGACAATTTTCCATCATTGACGGATTTTTTTTT